ATCTAGGGGTTCTTTTTTTTCTCTGAAGCAACGCGTTTATGAGGGAGCGCGTTTATGAGGGAGTGAGGGACAAAGTTACAGAGGATTGGTGGTGTTATACGGGTCGGTGAGTTGTGTTATACGGGTCAATAGGTTAACCCGAATTGACCCATTTAATAAATAGGTAAATCTGGGTTGACCCGTTTATGACCCGACCCATGTAATTCAACCCATACCCATTATAAACGGGTCGGGTTGATATGTCGGGTCATAAATTGCCATCCCTACCTGCAACTGGGTTGAGGAGGAAGAAACCTGTCATGGAAACAAATTTTTGAGTGAGTATAAGCGAAGAGTCCTAAAAAATATTCATACCTTTACATACAGAATATTTCATCCAAAGCCTACAGTTTGGAAAATAACTAATGTTGTTTCTTAAAATATATGTTTACTTTGTTAGAGAACAAAAAAGTGCTAAGTGAAACAAATAGTACAAAAGAGAGAAATACATACCTTATTCAGATCTCCAGATAAAGTTAGCCAGGCAAGAAGGTGAGCAGGCATGAAATAAAGGGATCACTCCCGAAGAGCTGCAAAGTTGCAAATAAATTTAGGAACAAGAACAATCTCCATAAATGGGGAAAAAAGAATGGACAAAACTATCATTTCTCCCTTAAAGTATTGGTGAACTCTCAAGTTGCCTCTATCAATTCACCTATTTTGCCTCTGAAACTATGTTTATGATTTCAATGTAGTCATTCTATGAGTCTAGAATCAAACATTTAACAAACTTAATAACATAAAATGTTTTTTTTTTGTATTTTTTCATGGGTTATTATCGGTTTATCTCATTTTTTCCCCTAACTAAAAAATATTTTTAAAACTATTTTCTCCCTAAACTTATTATCCTTTAACAATTTTTATGAATTAAAAAAAATTAGATTGCCAAAAATACAAAAAAAATACTATCACGTCATTAGTATGTTAAATATTTGGTTGTAGCCTCACAAAATGATCACATTGGGCACATATATATAATTTAAGGGAGAAAATTGGCAAATTGATATTTTAAGGGGCAACTTGAGAGTTTACTAATAACTTTAAGAGGGAAAAAATTATCCTAATTTTAGCTGCATAAAGAGATAGAGATGGAGAATGCAGATAACCAAAAGACAACTTTATAAGTTGAGTGTTGGTCACTATGTAATGCAACATGCAATACTACCGTGTCAAAGACTAACGAGAAAGAGAGTTAATTAACAAAACTGATTAAACTAAATAGTATATCCTTCGGTTCAACCATATAACAAACTTTGCATTATGTTTTAAGATGCAAACTTCACATATGCTAAGCTAAGATTGGCCTAAAATGGAGTTCAGGACAGCAATAGGTTGACTTCATTATGTCCAAGTGAGCTGGATTCAGAGTTATAAATATTAATCCTTACTCTAGGACGGGTTGATTGGACACTTGAGATTAAGATTCCTACAGGAGAAGTATGCTAAAATAAATAATAACATGAGACCAATGTACAAAAATAGTAAATTAAGAAGGCAGAAAGGCTTAGCTACATGCAACTAGTTGCTAAACAACGGTCATACATTTCTACATTTCATGATGCAGAAGTGCACAAGTTATCAGAGCAACAAGCATGAAACACTAACCGTTCTAGTTCACATAATACGAGCACTACACTAGTTTAGGGTAGATAGTAAATTCTACAACAATATCAAGAACAGCAGTATATAACTTCTTAAAACCTATGATGCACGGATACGGATACGGGACACGGATACGACACGTACACGGATACGGGATACAGCAAAATCCAAAAAAATAGGATACGGGGATATGACAAGGATTTTTTTAAATATTATTATAGAAAAAAATTTATAAAATTCAACTAACAATCTAAAATATGAATCTATCACAAAATAACAAGTTTGTAAAGAAAAAGTACCTCAAGAAGAAGTGGAAGCTAGAGATTGAGAGAGAGGATTAGGGTTAGGGTTAGGGTTTTTTCTTATTTTCTTTCGTTTGAGTCAGCTGAGGATCGGAGAAATAGGGATGAGTTTTTTAATTGAACGGTCCGGGTTGGATTTTAACAACCAATCCCGCAACCCGAATGAATCGACCTTCGGCGAATCCGAGCCGTATCCGAGCTCCTTTGACCGTGTCCGAGCCGAATTTGACCGTTGACCCGTGTCGGACACGGATTAACCGTGTCTGACACGTGTCATGCACGTGTCGTGACGAATCCGTGTCCGATTCGAGTCGGACACGGATTCGTGGCCTCTGGGGGCGAATCCGTGCTTCAGAGCTTAAAACTATCCTGGGCTATCAACCTGATACAGAACAAAAATATTGGTAAGATGGCTCAAAAAGAACCGACCTTTAAAAGGGCTACCAACCTGATTTTTTTTAACCATCTAAATTTAGGCAACTGATTTGATATTCAGCAGGTCAGCGTAGCATAGACTAGAATCAGCTTCGCTTTTCTTGTGAAGAGAAACCATGTATGGGAACAAGTCTGGGGTAATTGCATATTAATCCCTCAAATCATCTCCAATTCCAAAATGTATAATCTCAGTATTTGCCAAAAAGTCTCTCAAATCTTCATTTTCATTGACAATTCATCCGACATTCTGTTAATTTCTCCAACTGTAGTTGGGTTAAGCCTTAAGCCAACATATAAAATTACCCGAGTGCCCTTTAAAACACACTTCCTTTTAGTTTTGAAAATTAGAGGAGATGAAGAGAATGGAGCATAGTGAAGAATTTAGAGGATTATATAGGCTTTAGAGGAATTTAGCCATTGGAACAACCCTAGATTATGTTTGCGTTAATGGAATTTCACCCAAATTAATAACTTCACCTAACCAGAGGGACGAATTGACAATAAAAATGAAGATTTGAGGGACTTCTTTGCAAATATTGATATTTGAGGACTTTTTGGAAATTAAAGATGATTTAAGGGATGCAATTACCACAACAATTTATTGAAACTTAAGCCCTTAAGATAAACAGCCATTTTACTAATAATAGTTAAAGTTTTCTATTTTAAAGGATTTAACATACCAATTCTTTTGTGTAAAGCTTCTTGCATAAGAAATGGAATGGTTTGTAACTTAAAAGACACTTTCTAAGACTAAGCAAGTGTGTCAATGCAGCATATTGCAATAAGCAAACCTTCACGGGCATAGATCCTAAGAGAGGTAGATAGAAGTTCCTACGAGCTGGTCTACACAACTTGCCTTGGGAAAGTCTGAGTACTGCATAAAATCCATTTGGTAATTGGTACCACATAAGTAAAAGTAATTTCATTTACTTTTCATATTCTGATGTGCCATTTATCTCTAATTTATCTGAAACTTCAACTTGTGAAACCCTTGTGCAACATGACATGCTAACAACTATACTGTCATCTAGACGCCAGTTTAGATATCTGGCTTGCAAGAACTATAATACAAGAAGATGAAACCATTCTCCAGGTAGTTTGCGTGATCAAGCATAAAGTTCCCTATCAAGTCTCAGTTCAAAGGAATGGATTCTAACAACATCCACCCCCCGCCCCCCCCCATCCCAACAACACACACACTCTCTCTTCTCTTTTTCATATAAGTTAAAGCAAGTGACCCATATTTCGCATTGGCATTCCAAGAACTCAAAGCTCCACTATTGTTAAACTCATTCACTTGAGACCCATATAGATTAAGAGACGAGCATTTCCACAACTATTTCTGGAATGAAGTCAGCGATAGCAATAAAATATAATACGTAGCCTTAAAGAAAGAAATTAGGAAATATAATAAAGGTTACCTTTCTATGTACTAGACAGTTTCTGTTTTCGCCTGTATAACTTGAGGCTTTGTTTGGTAGGGAGTTTGAGGAGGGGAGGAGAGGTGAGGTGCAATGAGGTGGAGGGACTGGCATCTCTTTTAACCTTCATGTTTGGTTGGAGGGATGGTGAGGAGATGTGGATGCTTTTGTAGTTCATTTTCTCTCTCCTCTTGTTCCTCCCAGTTTTAGGGGTTTATCTCTTTCTAACGGTTTAGTTCATTTTCCATTGTCCCTTCCCTCACTGCACCTTGCCTCACCCTCTAAAAACTCCACCAAATACAAACTTTAGTTTTGTCCCTCACCTCCCCTCCAACCAAACCATGCCTGAGAGGAGCTCAAGAAAGGAGAACATCAGAAGTTATCATCAGGAACAAAACCCTTCTGCAACATTTCATCATGAAGCCGAAAAGCCATTTTCATGTTTTCATTGGCAACATGACCGTCTATTAGAGTTGTATACGTAGTTCTATCAGGCTGAATTCCTTGCTCAGCCATTCTGTTAAAAATCCCATCAGTTTCGTGCATCTTCCCTTGTTCACAAAACCCATTCATAAGCACATTGTAAGTTATAACGTCTGGCTTCACCCCTTCATGATCCATCTTACTAACCAAATCAAAGGCCTCGTTCACCCTTTCTTCTTTAACAAGCCCATGAATGAGAGTATTATATGTTACCCTATCAGGAAGAATCTTATCTTTATTCATTTTGAATAAAAGCTCTAAAGCCTTTGATGCATCACCTGACCGGCAATGCCCTTTAATAAGAGAGTTATAAGTAACAATATTAGGTGCAATTCGAAGTCCTTTCATTTCATCCCAGAGCCTGAATGCTTCTCCCATATGCCCCTTACTACAGTGACTGTCAATTAAAATACTATATGTGATATGATTTGGGTATATTCCTTTATTGATCATATCATCCCACAACTCTATAGCTTTCTCCATGTCGCCATCTTTGCAGAAACCATCAATCAAAACATTGTAAGTGACTACATCAGGCTTTAAGTTTCTCTCTGACATCATGACAAACAATTCTAAAGCTTTTGCGATACTTCCATCTTTGCAATATCCATTGATGAGTGTCGTAAAGGTGCAAAAGTCAGGGGAAATTCCCCTTTCCCTCATTTCACAGAAAAGCCCATGAGCATCCTGCATCCTCCGTTCTTTGCATAAGCCATTCAATATTGTATTGTAAGTAACCACGTCAAGGGAACAACCATGGCCAACCATTTCATCACGCATCTTGAGTGCCCTGGAGATCTTACTAATCCTGCAAAACCCACTAATAAGCATGGTATAAATCACACTATCTGGAACCAACCCTCGACCCTTCATCTCTCCAAAATGCCCTAATGCCCGATTCATATCTCCCTTCTTTGCAAACATCCCAATCAGAGCGCTAAAGCTAACTATATCAGGAACAAGATCACGTCTCAACATCTCATCATAAACCCTCAATGCCTCACTCACATTGCCATCTCTACAAAACCCCATTAACAAAATATTATAACTCGAAGTATCTGCCGCCACTCCATTGCTCGCCATTTGACCAATCAACTCCTTCGCTCTCTCAATCTCCCCCATTTTACAAAACCCATTTAAAACTGAATTATAAGTTACAACATTCGGCTTAAACCCTTTCTCAACCATCGAGCCCATAATCCCCAACGCATCCTCAACCTCCCCGACTCTGCAATAGGCATCAACCATGGTATTAAAAGTAACCAAATCCGCAAAAATCCCTTCTTTCTCCATCTCACACACAAACAAATCCACATCCTTCAACCTGCCATCTTTACACATCGCATTAACCATAATATTCAACGTGTAAACATTCAACCCAACCCTCATTTCAACCACTTCCCTATAAACCTCAAACGCCAAATCGACCCAATTGATTCTAACCAGTCCAGCCAATAAACAATTACAAGCATTGACGGAGATCAAGATTCCCCTCACCTTCAGAATCCTAAACGCCTCCGCCGCCTCCCGCAGCTTTCGAGCTTGAACATAAGTTCGAATGAGGAGATCGAAGACGGAGGGGCTAGGGTCACGGTTAGAGAGGGAGGAGATGATTTCGGAGGGGGAGGAGCGGCGGCGGCGGATGAGGCGGAGGAGGAGGGATTGGGCGGAGGAGAGGTGGCGGTTGTTGACGAAGGTGTGTATTAAGGGGGCTAGGGTTTGGGGGGAGGAGATGTTGAGGTTGGAGGTTGATGAGACTTCATTGGTTAGGGTTAGGGTTTGGGTGCTAGGGTTAGGGTTTTTGCGGTTGAGATTGGGGAGGGTTCTGAGGAAATGGCTGGAAGAGGTTTTGGTGGCGGTTCGGAGAGGCGGCGACGCCATGGGAAAATAAGTCGGAAAGCGTCTGCTCAGAGGTCGCTGATCAGTTACTGTGGTAAATTTAACAAAAGCCCGGACTTTTGGGCAATTTGTCACCGAAGCCCCCCGTAAATCGCTTTTTCCAACCGCGTCCCCTCAACTTTGGGGTGTTTTTCTTCCCACCAATTCCCTATAACGTTTTACCCACCAAACATTCCAAACTTTCAAAAACTTCGGAACAGAACCCCGAGTAACAACACGCACTTATTCCTATCACAATAAAATTAACAGACGGCGATGCCATTAACACTGTAAGGGAGGTCTATTTGGAAAACTTGAATGTTAGGATGATTTTTTGGGCACCCCAGAGTTCAGGGGTTTGGTCAGCAAAAAATTAGAAAGTTCTTAAGGGTTTCCGTGGGAAATTATCCCAAGTTAAAGGGGTTTTGCAAAATTTAAGCACGGTTCTTATTTTCGCAGTCCCTTGCTACTTATCCTCTCCACTACCAAAATTAAATAAGTTTTACATACACTTTCAATAAAATATTTATCATGTTTCAGCTCGTTTCTAACATTAATCACTTTTGAATTTACATTCTACAAAGATAACCTGAACCTGAAATAACTTTCAACTACGTTCAAATATCCATACAAAGATAACCTGAAATAACTTTTGAATTTACATTCTAAAAAGTTAACCTGAAATAACTTTTTCAACCTTTTTATTAAGGAGTAAGATCAAAATTTTCAGCTCTATAGGCATTCCAAACAATACTGAAGAAATTACGCTCATTTTCTTCTCCATTGTAGACATCACACAAAAATATGTCTCTATCTATATCTTTACAACACTACACCTACCCTAAATGTATATCTCATCATTTGTTTGACAACCACAGTTCCAGGAACTCAATTCAAGCCGCGAAATCATGCATCAAATGTGATGGCACAAAATTTCCCCCTATGGTGCCCGTGTTCGTATATTCAAAATCTTCCCTCCCCAAAAGACCAACTGAACCATATACATCTTGATGCAATCCTAAGGTAAAAGCCACTCCGTTCGTATAATTGCTCATTTCAGTCACCTGACGGCCAAGCGCTTCTTGTAAAAGATCACAATTCTCTCGGTGAGGCTTTTGCTCTTGTAGATTCGTATATTCGTCATTGTATCTGACATTATCGAGCTTGTAATTAATATTTTCGCAAATTTCATTTGTGAGCTTTATTTCTTTCTTGGAGTCCATTTCTATTTCACCAAACTCTTGATTATACATTTCCTCTATCATTGGCTTCCAGAGACGAACACGAGCATTTATGAACCAGTTTGCAACCTGGGCGAGAAAAGGCACAAGCAATGAGCTGGAAAAGATGAAAGTGAAACTATAGTTTTATAAATAGGAATTGATTAAATGACATGTATTGGTCGTCTTGTCTGATCAATTGTGGATAGATCTCTATAGTTCTATTGTTGTAGATAGACGGCTTGAGTGAACTTTTATGACTCTTCATCCTCAGAGAAAAAGAAAAATATATTTTTTTGACCAATTAACCTCCTAAGAGTAAATAAGTTAAAAAGGTTTCACTAAGGTCTATCCACAATTTGGCGATAGGTTGGATCCTATCTGCATATTAGAAATACACCGGGTCTATCCTGAATTAAGCTACAGTAACAAATTGTATTTTAAGATGTGTAAAGATAATGATTTGTATTTTAAAGTGTGCAAAGGTTAGAAGTCTTTTGGTCTTGAGTATTTATTGAATCTTTCAATAAAAAAATATAGAACAACCCAACTTTATTTTTCCTTTTCTTTTTGGATAAAACAAGTAGATTTAGATCACTGGGAAAACATCCTAGAAGATGATCATATATACACAAATAATGTGATTGAGATACACAGACAAGTAAATAAAAATCTAGATTAAATTGCATCCTGAGATCTTTATTACATTAAATAGACATGTTTTTATGTAAATATTTTCAAAATTGAATCTAAAGAAGAGCATACCTGACCCCTTGTTAGGCCTGTTTGTCTTGCTAGCATTAACTTCTCAGAATCCTTTGGATAACTAGACAAAAAACAGGAAATAAAACATAAATTATACAACAATATCATTTTCATCATGAAACATTCAGATACTAAAGGGTTTATAAAGAAACTTACGGGTGAAGAAAATGCTCGAAAAGCCAAGCACGAAGAGTTGAGACCGAGTTTTCAGGCAAGCCTCTTTGTGGCCTCCAAGTATGGGATTGCATCAAACCAAAATGTTGCATTGCCCTTTGTTGCCTTATTTGTTGGTCAATATAACGAAGTCGAGATATTCCAACACTTGAGATCTCCTTCTCCCCTAATTTTTTTCTTGTAGTTTCTATATGAGAGGTTATAGCATCCTTAAGAAAGCGAAAATGGCGGGAGATCGTTTGAAGGACAAGAGTTGTGTACAGTTTAGATGCTTGAGGGCCAGCTATTGCGTCGAAGGAGGATACTATTAGTTGCATTTGATGGTAGTACTGTTTATATCTTCGATCAACCTGACATTAAAGAAAAAAATAAAAAATAAAAAATGAAAATACAAATTTAGATCAATTATGAGTTAAAAGTTAATTTCAGTGTTGAGCAAGAATTTTGGGAACATTGAGAATTTAAGGAAATGAAGATAATAATTATGAGATTAAGAGTTGATGCGCATAATTTTCAAATACTATCATTGATAATTCATAGATATATTTTATCTCACCAACTTATGCCTCGTTATATATTGTATATGTAACTTGAAGAGTGTTTGGAAATAGCATTGTACCCTAGATGACATCAGAAAAGTCATAAACAAAATAGGAAGCAAAATGCCATGAAACAGCAGCAACACTTAGTAGGACTGGCTGGACGGATCAGTTTAGGCTGATGTTTCCTATTTTACCTATTTTGGAATTCTCTTTGTTGAGTTTGTGTCCATGCCCATGATAGGTTCAAACACAATGGGTTGGCTAAGTAAGAACAACTTATGAGAATAACTTAGTCAAGTTAGTGTAGCCCATTTAGGGTTGGGACTTAAATCGTATGAGGACTTTAGTATTATGAGGAGAGTGGTACATTATCTATTCCACAATATTTCTCACAAGTATGAGTGAGAGAAAGAAGAGAAAAGTGGGGAAAATAAGGTTTGTGGATGATATCAATTGGGATGATTTGTTTAACATCTACATCTTGAAGGTCTCTACAAAGCTGGATTATTTGGTAGAGAGTGATTCTTCAAGTGGATTGTGTAGTTTGAGTTGTGAAGTAATCCCTTGTATGTTTCCCATTTGTTCCTATTATTGTTGGGTCTCAACCTTTATCTAAGCTTTGAGGGTTGCTATATGGTGTGCTGTTATTTGTTGATATAGTGGAAAGACTTCTCTTCTTATCTTTGGATATATGTGCATTTTGCCAAACCATGTTTTGTTGATTGTCCATTGTCCTGTTGTTAATTCTGCATTTTAGTTTTTCTCTTTCATATTTAATCTTGGGCTTGGAATCCTAGTCTTTGGCTTTTCAACAAAGTAATATCATAGTAAAGTTTTGTTACGCGCGGAAGCCACTTGTTGTGCGCCGAGGAACCAAACCAAACACCGAGAGAGAAGGCAACTCAAATCAAACAATAATGGCACAAACTCAAACACAAAGTTTAACGTGGTTCGGCAAATTGCCTACGTCCACGAGGCAAGAAGGGGAGGGGTTTTCACTATAGAGAAAGAGAGTACCAAATGGAGATTACAAGATCACTCAAACTAACCTCTCAAACAAAACCCTCAAATCTCTCTCAAAACCCTCAAACAATTTACTCAGAAAATAACTCTCTTTTCTATGCTCAAAACTCTCCTTCAAGCTACCCCAAAAGTAACCAATATGATCCAATAAACCCTAAACAGATCGTGTTCCTATTTATATAAAATAGGAAACTCAAACAGTACAGGAAACCGAAGCAGGGCCAAACCCGACTCGCGGTCGACTGGATCCAACGATCGAAACCAAAAAACACTACAGGGTTTTGTCGGTGGACCGCTGCGCCACTTGTGGTCGATCATGAAAAGTCCAAAGACTTTCCCTGTGATGTGCACGTTCGCGGTTGATCGCAGCGCATCCAAAATGTTCCCTGCTTCAAAAAACCCGAACTTCGTCGCTGTGTCGCCAATTCTATAATTCTCCACCTCAGCGAAGTCTTCCCAAAACTAAGCTGACACTAACTAAACCAAATGTCCCACTTGTTGTGTCCAGTACAAAGTGAAATAGAATCACAACAACAGACTCAATCCACAACAAGTCGAGACCCAAATGAGAATACGAAGACTCTCCAAACGTCGGTATCTACCCATCAAATCGGCTGCATCATAAATGACTACCTACATATCCTCTTGCCAAAGGAATCAAGCCTTCACGTAGTTCCCCAACTGGCCTCCAAAGGCCCTCAATCAAATAGAAAAATTCTCAACTCTTCACCAATAAATATACGGCTGATAGCTATCCAAATGACCCCAAAGTAAAAAAAATCAAACACCTCCACCTGAGGTAAACCAATGGTCGTATCCAAATCATATCCACCAGCTGCATTCGAATCAACCAACTCACCATCTGCACTCAAATCCAAATGATCTCCTAACTGTGTCACCTCAACTGGAATCTCAAACGATACAGTATGATCTGAAGTATGTAGAGTAATCTTCACCTAATATAGAGTAGTATCACTCTCCACCCGCTATGATACATCTAAGGTCTGTACAAAACTCTCCACCTGTTGAGAGTCAATTAGCTCCCTCATCGAAGCCTCAACCGAAGTGACACTACCAGACCAAACATACAATGGAGTTTTTCCTCCAATCGTAGCAGTCGACAACCTATGACCAAAATGACCCAAATATGTCGAAGCCTCAACACCAAAATCAATGCTTGACATTAAACGCCGGTCCTCCTCCAGCAAGGAACAATTCACTAAATTTGCCATCTCATCTCATTGTCCTAAGATTTCTTTTCCACCGAAGTGTTTCAAAATGTCGTGAGCTCGGCTCAAATGCAGAAACAAGTCCCTCTTGTACCCCCACCAAAATCAGAATGAAGTACCTTCATCTTTCTGTCAATCTCACACTTCTTCAATCTGTTGGAGACTACTAGGATTTTATCTAATCGGGATTTGGTTGTAACCCAAGCATGCCTAGAACAGCCACCAACAAAGGAAACCAAACATCTATTATCTCCCAATGATGCCTCCTTGGAAGGCCCCCAAATGCCCACATGAACTCCATCAAAAAGACCCTTCGTGAGGTGAATAGAGGTGCTAAATTTTACCTTGATCTTCTTGCTCACATCAAAATGTTCACTGGACTTTAAACTGCAGGTCGATGCACCCATCTCCAAATCAATACTGGAATAACCAAGCCTCAAATGTCGCAATCTAGTCGAATCAATAGAAATCATCAGCTCTTCACCTGTCACCGTATTCCCAATCAAATAGTACAGGTTATTCTTCCTGACGCCCTTCATCAAAATACGAGAGTCTTCCATAATTTTGAGAATCATGTCCTCGATACGAACTCTAAAATACTCTCCAACCAAAGCTCCAATTGAGATCAAGTTCTTCCTCAAAGAAGGAACATATCTCACACCATGCAACTCTCTAACTGTCCCATCATACATATTGATGCGAATTCTTCCTATCTTAAGGATCTGACATGCACGGTTGTCACCCATGTACACCACACCACTCTACAGTTTCTCAAAATTGGCGAACCATTCTCTTCTAGGGCACACATGATAGGTTGCACCACTATCCAACATCCACTCGATTCCTCCGAATAGCTACCTATGGGACTGATAGAAAGCGAATAAACAGATGAATCGGAAAGATTATCATCCGATATAATGATGTTCGCTTCTGATGATGATTGCTTCTCTTTTCCCTTCTGCTTATTCTTCATCCAATCACTGAGCTTTGGACAATCTTTCTTCTAATGACCAGTCTCTTTACATCAAGCACACTGATCTTTGCCAATTGTAGGATGGCCTACTCTAGATTATGATTTCCCATTCTTTCGATTTGAATTCTTCCCTCTTGCGATCAATGCCTCTATTGTTTTATCACTTGTAGACTCATTATCTTTCTTTCGAAGCTGATAATTCACAAGTACAGCGGTGACCTTACTATACGAAAGGGACGCCTTCCTATTAATTAGGGTAAGAACAAAGGTCTCATATTTCTTATCCGGTAAGGAACTTAACAAGAACAAAGCTTTATCCTCATCCTCTATCATAACATCCACATTCGCTAATTCCGCAAGAAACTTCGTGTAGTGGTTCATGTGATCGCTAATGGAGGTTTCCTTCTTCAATTGGAAGCGATAAAACCTCCTCTTCAAACACAAGTGATTTTTCACACTCTTGGTCAAATACTTTCTCTCAAGGGTCTCCTAAATCTTCTTAGCCAAAGTCTCATTCATCACATCATACTTTAAATCTTAAGTCAAATAAGACCTAATCACACCATACGCCGTTCTGTTCATCTTCTTCCAAACCTTCTCATCAATATCATCTTGCTTGCCATCCAATTCTAAAGTATCTTCCAAATTTTGCACGTTCAGCGCATCCAAAACCTCACATCTCCATAATCCAAAATTATTCGTGCCATTAAATTTCTCCACATCTATCTTCGTAGAGTGGATATTCAAATTTTAAATGGTCTTCACGCCACAAGCACCACCCTCAACACCCGAAGTACCTTCTTTCCTAATCATCTTCCTCAACACACCAATAACTAATACGGAACAAACTGAAGAAAAGATCAAAAACTGAGAAAAGATAGAATTTTTACCAAAAATATCCCACCTTTAACTCCAAACGAAGCTCTAACCGAACTTCCAAAGTGATCTACTCCTCCAAATAGCCCAAACGTAGCCCGAGCTCTGATACCACTTGTTGTGTGCGGAAGCCACTTGTTGTGCGCCGAGAAACCAAACCAAACACCAAGAGAGAAGGCAACTCAAATCAAACAATAATGGCACAAACTCAAACATAAAATTTAACGTGGTTCAGCAAATTGCCTACGTCCACGGGACAAGAAGGGGAGGGGTTTTCACTATAGAGAAAGAGAGTACCAAATAAAGATTACAAGATTTCTCAAACAAACCCTCAAATCTCTCACAAAACCCTCAAACAATTTACTCAGAAAAGAACTCTCTTTTCTGTGCTTAAAACTCTCCTTCAAACTACCCCAAAAGTGATCAATATGATCCAATAAACCCTAAACAAATCGTGTTCCTATTTATATAAAACAGGAAATCTAAACAGTGTAGAAAACCGAAGCAGGCCCAGACCCAACTCGCGGTCGACCGTCGAACCCATCGCGATCGACCGGATCTAACGACCGAAACCAAAAAACACTACAGGGTTTTGCCGGTCGACCGTCACGCCACTTGCAGTCGACCGCAAAAAGTCCAGAGACTTTCCCTGTGCTGTGCACGTTCGCGGTCGATCGCAGCACCACTCGCGGTCGACCGTACAATAT